AATTAGTAATAAGATGGATCCATTTTTACTTGGTTATTTTTTTTAAATATAATTTAATATCCAAACCTTTCGTTTTAAACAATATAATAGCCAAACCTTTTCGAAAACAATCTAATATCCAAATCGTCAACTTTCCGTTCGTTTGACCGTTAGTTGACACTTCAAAAAAGCTTTGTTTAGGGGAAATTGTCACAATACAACTTTGTTTTCTTGTTTTGACATTGCAGATGACTGAATATTTAGATATTCTATACCATCATGGTGGAGTCATGGACTTCTCGGGTTTGGAACTATGATATGTTGGTGGTTTTTCAGAGAAGATATCGATGGATATTGATGAAGTGTCGTACTTCGAACTTTTTTGAAGTGTCAACTAATGGTCAAACAGACAAAAAATTGACGATTTGGATATTAGATTGTTTTCGAAAAGGTTTGGCTATTATATTGTTTAAAATAAAAGGTTTGGATATTAAATTGTATTTATCCTTTTTTTTTAGGACCACTTGTATTGAGTTTCAGTTGTTTAACATTACAAAGGTACAATAGTGGAAAGCAGAATGGTTTTCAGAACATAGATACAGTCAAAGCCATATCCAATTTTTGTGCAGGCAGATTGGCCATCCTCCACATTGCCGCCACCACAAGGCTATCCTCAAACTAAAAGAAGAAAGATGGAGAAGGGGGGTAAAAAGTAAAAACTGAAAGGATAAAGAAGATTGGCTGCCACTACTGTCTCAATCTTCCAATAGGAAGGAGAAAAGCAGTTCCAATGGAAGAAAAAAAGAAAAAACAATTCACAGTGAATTCCCCTGCTGCTGATAGAGGCAGGCTGCTTTGGTTAACAGTGGTCAGCGAATTGTGGAGAGAGCGATGTAGGCGGTTGTATGGTAAAGAAGTCCCGACGGATGTGCAGTTTTTGAAGAAGTTGCAGTAGATGTTGATCCTGCTGCGGAATGGTTTCCCTCAAGTCAGTCTGGCTGTTGGTGAGGCTGAGATTCTTAGTATAGTGTAAATTTTGTTTGTATTCTTGTATTCAGGTAGTTTAGTTTAGCAGATTGGGTTAGATAGTTTGTGGGGTTGTAAATGCACTCTGTATCCGAGTAACTGATTTTGGTTCTAGTTAGAATGGTAGAAATTACCATTCTTTCTTGATGAATACACAACTTATTCATAAAAAAAAAACACAGCAAAAAAAGTAGCAAACTTTCAGATGGACCGTGGAAGAAGGGGAAATTTATAGGATTTATCTGAAAATATTGACAAAAGCGAGGAAGAAATCTTTTTAACAACGGAAAAAAAGCGAAGAAGAAAGCGATCACATGGTAGGATGGGTGCCTGAAGAGTGAAAGAGTAGATACGAAGAAGGGAATGATGTTCGATTAAGAATCTAGATTCAATAATAATCTCTAATTTTACTACTTGAGGAATTAGTGATGCAATTTTCGTTTATTTCTGTTATTAAAACTCTGGTTGATGTACGTAGGGTAGATGTTGAACTCAGTTGAGAAACATTTAGGTTCGTTTCAAAGTTATCTTATCGTTTGATGATTTCAATGCTGAAATTTATGATGAATTCGTATATGTTGTTTCAGTTCGATTGATGATTAAAGATAATCTCGTCCTACTGTTTTACAAATTGGGAATTTGGAAAATTGGAAAAAGAACGAAAACAAGTACTGTCAATGTCTATGGACAAATCCATCAATATAAATGCATGTTTTGATAATATAATGCATTGTAATGAATCACCATAATATAAATGCATGTATTGATACAATAGATGCATTTTAACAATACATTATTTGGTTGTTGAGATTCTACTTTATGCATTGATTTACATAAAGTTACTTTATGGGAAAATGTCATATTTTACACTCAACTTTTTAGTATAAGACAAAAACTATTAGGGATATAAATGGAAACAAAAAGTTGACACAAATCTAAAAGCAACAATCACAACAATTTCAACATTTAGTTGAGATTGTATAATGCATCATTTTTTGTGATTGTTGGTGGGACGTACCTAAAACAATGCATGCATTGTTTTGCATTTTGGCACTTCTAAACATTGTATTGTGCACAATACATGTATTCAACAAACACAACTCTAACAATCACAACTTCCAAACAACCCTAATAAAGTAAAAAAGAAAGAGTGAAATTAAGGCAACAAAGAGATTAAAGAGAGAACATGATGCTGCAGATTTAAGAGGGGAAAACATGTCACAATCACGTTGAGACAAGCTGAAAGCTAAGGCAAGAGTTTAGCCTTCCTTTTTTGTTTTTGTGGTGAAACATGATGGTTGGTACTCTCAAACATTGATAGTTACATCCACATTAATGATGATCTACCAACCTAATGTAATAAATAACAATCTTCCTGCACGTTGTAAGTAATGTTTTTCATTGATTGGTGGTAGGAATGGTAATGGCAAGTTGGGAGATACCCATACTTGTATTGTTGGCAGGTCAGGTCAGTTGGATAATTTATCATGGAGCGTAGATTGAGCAGGTCGATGCATATGAGTATGAAATTAAAGGAGAAATATTAATTGTATATCATAAAAATTACAATATGACAAATATATTTAAATTATTTTAAAAATTGGGGTTCTTATCTATTTACAACTTATTATAACTAAAATTTGATATAATAAAAAAAAGTACACGTAAGTTAGGCAAAACGGGTTGAGAATAGGGGGTCGGGCGAATCGGGTCGATGAGTGATTGTAAGTAGGGATGGCAATTAACCCATGCCCACGGGTATCCGACCGCTCCCGACCCAGTCAACGGGGGAATCCCCACATTGACCAGGTAGGGGGTATGGGTAAAAGCCGCAAAAAGTTTGATGGGTATGGGCGGGTATGATTTTAGCCTCCCCCGCCCCATACCCATACCCATACCCTTACCCGCCCCACCAAAAATATTTCTTCATATATGAAAAATATGTAAATCAATTTGTAACCTATCAATAATAGTGAGTATAACTCGAGAAAAATATATAGTAGAAATGCAATTGAGTGGCCACCCAAATCAAAATTTAATTTCTTTCTCTGAATTTTTCCTTCACTCTTTCACTTTTTCCCCTTGTTAAGAAGATTATGTTAATTAATTATTACTTAGTAGATGTATCAGAGTAGAGAATAATGATTTGGATTAAATTGTATTATACTCTGATATGGATTAATGGATGCTTTGAATCATATTAAAAATGATTCTCTCTTTTTCGACTTCATGGTATAGTAGGTGCATTTAATGTTAAAATTGAAAATCTATATGTAAAATATTAGGTATTATAATGCTGGATGTACGAGGCGGGTATTACCCATGGGTACCCGAAACCCATGGGTATGGGGATGAGTTTGCAAAACCTTCCCCCGCATGGGTATGGGACGGGTATGAGTATAGATATTTGAATGCGGGAATGAAAATGGTTTAAGCAAACCCAACCCATTGCCATCCCTAATTATAAATGACAGAGCCATATTATACCTTTAGAACCATATACCCTTCTCCAAATTACAAAACTTTCGCCCTTCTTTTCCTCCACCAATTTACCATAAATATCGCTCCCTTTCATTGAAATTAAAGTACTGGTTTTATGCTCTTTCACTTTCTAGCCTTTCTTTTAGTTAAAGGATTATCCAATCAGAAAAAAGAAGAGGGACCGACAAAGGAAGGACGATTAAAAAGTAAAACCACAAAGTCAGCAATTCATTCTTCCATTAACTAAATTGTGGAGATCAAGTAGAAAGCTCAAGACAGAGAATTTTTTTAGGTTATTGGTATAATATGCTTCTTTATTATGACGTTTTATCATACATGTCTCTCTATTATTTTTTTTACATCAAACATGTTCTTTTACTTTGAGGAAATTATCAAACATACTCTTCTTTTAGAATTTTCATTCAAAAACCGTTAACCACAGCCAAACTTTGGTTTGGGCGACACAAATTTCTAAACTATCCATAATAATTTGACTTTATAAATTTTTTGGTTCCTTTGTATAGTTAAATAATTCTAATATTTTCACTTTGACGAGTCCCAAAGAAATAAAAATAGGGGACAAAACAAACATTTCGTCTCCCATTTGTCGATGTCGGGTTATCTAAATATCGGTTCAACCATGATTGGCAATTTTTTCAATGGAAATTTAAACAAAAGTGCATGTTTGATAATTTTTCCAAAGTACAGGGGCATGTTTGGTGTAAAAAAACACTAGAGGGCATGTTTGATAAAACGACATAGTAGAGGGGTATATTATACCTATAACCAAAAAAAAATTATGAAAGGGTAAAAGATAATATGCTAAGATTGTGAAACCATATTTGAGGTTATACAAGAAAATTTAGTGGTAAAATATTTTATACTAAAATTGTGGTTTGACTGTTCATACCACTTAAACCGTCTACTAGTTAAGAACAGTATCCGGTATTTCCGATCCGACCTGACGATAGGGTAGGGTTTCTGAAACATTGGATATGGTAGTGTGAATGGGGATATGGTTATGCCTCCTCAACCGCCAATTATACTACCATCTACGATTGGGCAATGGGTGGGTTATGTGAGTTTCGAACTCAAATCGACTCACCAGCTTGTTAATGAGTTGACACAATCGTGACTCGCTATCCACCCATGTTCTTTTTATGGGTTGGGTTAAGCGGGTAGCAGCGGGTGCCATTGGGTTGCGGATTAACATACAAAAATAATTCTCTAACTAGTCATTGAGTAAATTGTATATCATTTATAATACGTAACTCGTAAAATAAGAAGATTGTACCAATTTAGACACATCTCACTTTATCTCATGTACTTGTATCAAATCTTTCATTACTCTATCAACCAACTATATAGATATAAATAAGGCTTTTTTTGAAAAAATTTAATACAAATAATTGTTTGTAATTTGAATGAAAAAAATTTATTCAATTAATCGTTTATAATTTGCATGTCAATATATAATAAATACTAGACAACATGATAACCTATTAAGTCCAAGGATATTCTTTATTTTCAGAAGGTAAGGGTTCTCAATATATAATAAATATTAGACAACATGGTAACCTATTAAGTCCAAGGATATTCTTTGTTTTAAGAAAGGTAAGGGTGCAGTATGGTTAGAAAATATCATGACCATTCGATTGCATAAAAAAACTACTTTTAGCCATGTTAAAAAGGAATGCTGAGTTATTCTATCGACCACAACCCATTCATTACTCACTCGAAAAAGTGCGGGCATAAGATTTATCGATCCATAATCAACTCACATAAATCAATCACTCGCTACCATTCGAATTATTTACGGGTGAATTGATGTTAATCCGCCAATTAACCACCCCCACTTTCCCACTACCACCATGCACCACAACCGTCCAATTAGAAGTCGAACCGTCGATGAGGCCAAGTAGAAAAAACATCAAACGTTTGCTATTCCCAAGTGGATATCCCATTTCTTTCTGCGCAAACAGAGCCTTTGAAGTTTAACCAGCCAAAAGAGAGCAAAGGGCCAATAGCCCAAAATAATATAAATGGAAAATAAAAAAGCTTCCTTCCTTGCTACTCGTAAAAAGCCGTACACTACGCAACAAAAACCCACAAAGGTAAGTGCTCAAAGGACGAGCAGCAAGCAGGCAGGCAGCTTAGCCCAATTTTCGATCGTGCTTCTGAATTTAAGATGCGTATAATATTACTACTCTACTTCTGTACAAGTTAGAGCAGTAAATTTTGCAGAAAGATAAAAATCTTATGGGCGGAGATAAAAAAAAAATAACAAAAAAGAAAATCTAATAGTAATAATAAATGGAGCTAATCAAAGAAGGCGGCAGCTACAAAGAGAGATCGGCCATCCAGAGAGAGAAAGGGAAGAGATACCTAATTTTGGGAACAATGGTGAAATGAATAGTTAACAATTACGAGGCCGCTGCTGAGTAAGGCTGAGATCAGCAAACCACAGAAGAATTCCTTCTTCTTCTTCTTCTTCTTCTTCTTCCTCCTCCTCTCTCATGGCTTTAATGGAATCCACTCGTAACGTCCTTCCAACGGCTTCTCGTTGGCAAAGTCGAAGTTGTACCTGACCACAGCAGCACCACCATCAGAAACCACAGCGACAAAGAAAAAAGAATGGAAAAAAGAAATTTAGCCAGGCAAATTCAAAATTTTCTCGCCCCTTTCTTTTCTCAGGAAACAAACAGTCGCGGAGAATTCAGAGGAGAAATTTATTATGCATGCATGACTTTTCGGCCCGGACTTACTTCTCATTCAATCGATTCAGTTCCTGGTTCCCGCCGCTCATACTGCTGAAGAACAATTCCAGCTCCGCTTCCGTCACCGCCATCCTCTGCCGGTCCGTCGTCGAGTTCCGCACAGCCGCCGCGGACGATTCTTCCTCTCCCCCCTCCGCCGTGGAATTCCGCAGCTCAGGTCTCTCCATTGACTTGAGCTCTTCACCTGTCGTCGTCGTTCTGACTATCACCGTCGACCGACTACTCGTCGTCTCTCTCCTGCGAGAAATTGGAAAACGGAAGGAAAGAAAAGAATTTGAGAGAAACGGACATCGCTGTTTGTAAAAGCCGGGGGAGAAGGAGGGAATAAATACCGCAACCGCGGAGGTTTTTGAATTCGAAATTAATACGGAGAATGAATACATTTTTATTTTTATTTTTGCTAATTTCAACTCAATAGGAAACGGAAACTACAAACAGAGTCCGACTTGAATAATAAAACTACTACAAACCTTTCTCTGCAGCCGCTGCTATTCATGAGCGATTCGGATTCCATTTCCTCCTGCCGGCCGAGAGAAAAACAAAACGAATTGGAATTACAGAAACATAAGAAACAAAAAAATCTTCGAGCCGAATTATCCAAAAAAATCCGGCCGGATTTTATTTCTGACCTGCAGATCTGAGAATTCAAACGCTCCCTCGCTCGATCCATTACTGGAGCAGCAGGAAGCGTCGGAGCCGAGCCTATTGAATTCCTCCTCCTTTTCGTCTGCATCCGGCGCCGCCGCGTTAGGGCTTGGGGAACACCTTTCGATCTCTCCACTCCGGCGAGCGGGAGGATTTAAATCAGCAGCTGCAGTGCTAGTTGTGGAGTCGTCTCCTCCTCCGCCGCCGAGGTCGGACATTTTCAACCTAGAAAATTCTTGTTGTTGTTGTTGTTCTTCTTCTTTTCTGGCTCCGGCGTCGCGCCGGTGGTTGAATTTCCTTCGCTTGGTGGGAGGAGGAGGAGGAGGAGGAGAAGAAGAAGAAGAGGAAGGAGGAGGAGGGGAATTAGGCGTGGAAGAGGAAGAAGCCAAAGGTCTTGTCGTGAGGCCGACGCGAGCCATTAGCGCGAGAGAATGACTGACTGACAGACAGTGGGATGGCGTTTTGCTGCTTCTTCTCCTTCTTCTGCGGGAAGATATGGAAAGCTCCGAGAGAAGGAACGGAAGTGAGAAGGAAGGAAAGGAAGAGTTTGGTTGGGGGTTATAATAAAGTGAGAGAGAGAGAGAGAGATAATAGTGTGGGAGGGGAGGGGAGGGACGGGGTCCGTTAACAGTGACGGGGAATCTGTAACGGGGAAATTGACGGCGCCGTTATGCAGATCGGGCGGGGCTGCCTGGGGGAAAGGTTCGGCTTTGGCTTTGCTCGGGAATGCGCCGATTTCGAAGCAAATGAGTGGAAGACACGTGGGGTACGCACACGTTAGGAATGTCAATTAATATATTTTAGTAATGAACAAGTGGGAAGGAGGGAGTAATGATTGATGCAGTGGGAGATGGTACAGAGAGGATGTTAAAATTACAGAGATAATGGTAATTGGTAAGAGAGAGAGAGATTTGGGTTTCATAATCGGAGTTGTTATTGTATTTTATAGGGTTTAGGCAGGAGCATGGTGTTCCTCGACAGAAATGAATAGGGATGGCTAGGGCTGTTATTTCGGTTGTCGGTTAGTGGCTAACCGGCCGGTCTAACCGTTAACCATCGGTTAGCGGCTAACCGGAAACCGAAAAAACAGAGGGGCGGTCGGTTGACGGAAGGGATCAGTGGTCAGGCGGTTAGTCGAGAAACCGAAGCCAGTTAACTGGCTAACCGACGCTAACCGACCGAGATGAAACGACGTCGTTTTGCCTACTCTTAATTACACAAATTCCCCCCACCCCAACCCTAGCACTACTGGCCTTCGTTCTCCCTCAACCCACACACTCTGCGACTGTCTCTGCCCGCCGCCTCGCCTCGACGACCTCCTCCTCCCCAGCCCCTGCCGCGCCTCGGCGCCCGTCACCCACCTCGCCGCCTCGCCCATCACCCGCCTCGCCACGCCTCGCCGCCTCCACAGTCAAGGTCAAGGAGAATCAAATCGACACCCCCCCCCCCCCCCCCCGCCGCGGCGCCGCCTCCCCTACGCCCCCCGCCTCCTCCACTGCTCGGCGCCAGGCAGAATAAGGAAAGAGAGATGCTCGGTCTGGGATAAGCTCTTCTTCTTGATTCTGGGCCAGACCGCCAGAAGCAGAATCATCACTCAAATTTTAGGTGATTTTAGGTTTTCTTGCCTTGCTGTCCGGGCGGTTTTGGCCGGTTATCGGCCGGTTAGGTGGCTCCAATCAAACCAGCCTTCAAATTTCGGTTGTCCCGGTTAAATCACGCCAAAACTAAAAACCAGTCGGTTTGTGGCTAACCGTGGTTGGTTGGACGGTCGGTCGACGGTAGCAATTGATCGTGTCTCGGTTTATCTCGGTTTTCGGTTAAACCAAAACTGACCGACTGCCACCCCTAGGGATGGAAACAAAACTCGAACCCACGGGAACCTAGTCGACCCAACTCGGTCAACGCGGGTAAAACCCATATTGACGGGTTTTGAGCTGGGTTTGGGCTTAAATCCGTTCACTATTCATCGGGTTGTGTTGAGTTTGGGTTTAGATAAACTAGCCCAATGGGTACCTACACCCATATAAACAATTTTCTCAGTATATTTAATATTCTAAATAACTAATCTTATTTATGTTTGTGGAGACATGTCTAATTTGTTCTTTCTAATTGTGTAGAATGAAGTAGATGTTATCGAGTGGAGAGTGAAGAAACTTAATTGACAAGGAGGAAGAAGCTTTCAATTAATCATGTTATTTATGGAAAATTTGTGATTTGCTTCAATTTTCTTGAGTTTTCTAGATTGGTGTTGAACAATTTGTATAGTTAATTTGTGATATGCTTGAATTTTTTAGAATGGTGTTTTATATATGGATAATTTGTATTGAGAGATTGATATTTGACTTTAATTTTGATAGGAACTTGTTATTGTAAATTTTTTACGACAAAAACCCGTGCGTACCCATGAACCCGCAGATACCCTGCGGGTTGGGTTGGGTTTGAGTTTTTCAAACCCAATTGGTTTTACCCCGGATTTTTTCGCAGATAAACCCTTAGGTTTGGGTTTGGCAAAACCCGACCCAACCCGACCCATTGCCATCCCTAGAAATAAACTCTATATTTGATTGTTTACACCCCAACAATTTCCCCTCCAGGAGAAGCTGTGTTCAAATTGTCTCATAATAATTTTAATTGATAATATTTAGATAATTCGTTTGATATAATTAAATATTTTAGCTATTTTGGTTTAAGTGTGTTAAAGAGACTAAAATAAATCACACGGATATACTCAATTCATTATTCTTATGATATTGGCATAAATTTTTGTTAGGCGGCTACTAATGATTGCTATAGGATAATTATAGTAGTTGCATGTATTTATGTCAAATGTTAATTGTGTGATGATTTTTATGTTTTATTCATTATATAAATTATGAATTAGTGCATTATAAGGAGATTTTTTTTCTAACATAATGATAATGTTATGCTATTTGGTTAACCTGATTAGAATATAATTTGGTTGTTGTATTAGTTTGGTCGGTTTGGTTATGATATTGCATGTCATGGTTAATGAAATTTAGGCATAATTTTTTGGTAATTATCATGATAAACATTTGAAAACCCCACCACTTAGACCCCCATCAATTTATACGCCCTACAATTTTCCCCTCAACTTACACCCCCTAGTTGCCAAATGGAGTGTAAAGGTGGGCAAGCGATTATTCTGGGATGGAAATTAAGTTAGAATTATTATACCTGTAATTTTTTTTAATAATTTAACGAGTATAAAATAAGCAAATTAAATAAAAATTATTTTTTAGATAAATATATTTATTTTAAATTCTATAAATTAATAATTATACAATTTTTAAAAAATATTTGTCAATTGATTTAAAATATAATTAGGATAGTCTCATAAAAATATAAATCTATAGCAGCTTGTTTCATTTTGAAGTTCATGTTGAACTATTCTCATAACACTTAAATAATTGTGATTAGCTCATGTCAAATTTAGTGGATATATTTTGTTTCGCAGGGCACTGCTAAACAAGTATATATGAATAGATCTGGCAAATTATGATATGAGCTGAATCCATTTGAGAAATCAAAATTGGATTGATTTTTTTAACCCAAAATCTGATTAACCTATATATTTTTTTGGAAATCAAAATATAAATCAAGATTCATTTTAGATCCTATTCTTTTTTTTTTTGTCAAAAGATATCATGTATTGATCGAAAAATAGACAGTTACACCCTGGAAGCCAGCTAGGTCTGGAAATCAAAGAAGTGACTCATAGTCGAATACAAAGAGAGGGCTTTCCTAGCTACCAAATGAGCTACCCTATTGTTCTCCCGACCTACAAAACACACACTAAAACCAGGCTGAGTACGAAAATAATGAGCAATCTCTTCCAGAACCGCACCCAACCAGCTATCTCTTGTGTCAGCTTGATTAATTTTGTCAATAATCACCGTTGCATCGCCCTCAAATCGGACCTCCAACAAACCTTGCGCCAAACACCAAATAATAGCTTCCCTAAGCACAAGCAATTCCACCACTACAGGATCATCCATTTGAGTAAACTGGACCCCTCTAGCCAGAAGGAGTGTCCGCATTGGGCCAAAAAGAACCATCCCACCAGCCGAGTGTGACCCACCCTTAGTAGCTCCGTCCCACATGAAAACCAAATGGGAATCACTCACTTGAGCTGTAGATTGCATTGTCGGGATTTGAGTCCTAGGCGCCTGGTCCGTTGGTAGACCCACCCATTCCTCATATTATTGGTTAAACTGTCGCATGAGCGCCGGGATCCCAAATTGTTTGCCTTCAAAGACTACCCAATTCCGAGATCGCCAGATCCTCCAAAGGATGGCAACAACAGCCATAACCACAGACGGTTGATGGATCAAACCCAACAGACGTTTGAGAAACAAAGGAAAAGTCTGCCTAGGCAAACCCTCCCCCAAGTATTCCAGCCTAGAATAATCCCAGAGGGCCCGCACAACCGGACAATAAAGGAACAAGTGTTCCATTGTCTCCGGGCCATCCCAGCAAACTGGACACCGAGGTAACACCTGGACCTTTTTCTCAATAAGCGCCTCCGTAGTCGGCAAAGCCCGATTAAGAATTTGCCAAACAAAAACCTTCAATTTTGGAGGGATCTTCGCCTCCCAAACTCTAATCCAACTCGGCTTATCCATCCAGCTAACCAAGGATCGCCACCCACCCCTCCTCCTGTCTAAATCAACAGCCAAATGATAGGTCGACTTAACCGAGAAGACCCTGTCGGCCGTAAAATGCCAGATAAGCTTATCAGGCACGTCCGAACGTGGGAGAGGAATAGCTTTAATAACCTTACAGGTGGGCGGGTCGAACCATTGACTAAACTTCTCATCGGACCACCTCCCTCCCCCCTCACAAATAACCTCCGCCACCAAGGGATTACCCCCCTCAGGCAATATCCGCGGATTATAGCTTGGGGGATCAAGTTGGTACATAGGAATCCAGTTAGAATGAAGGAGGGAGACCGATTGGCCATTACCAACCTGCCATCGTAAACCCCTCTCCAATAACTGACGCCCATGAAGGATACTTTGCCACCCCCAAGAGGGACGAGACCTAGCAGTCGCAGTCAGTAAGAACCCTTGAGGGAAATACTTGCCTTTATAGACCTGGGCAATAAGTGATTGAGGTTCATTGAGGATACGCCAGCCTATCTTGGCCAACAGAGCTTGGTTGAAATGATCAAACTGGCAAAATCCCATCCCCCCATCATGCTTACTCCTGCACATGTTACGCTAGGACACCCATCTAATTTTGGGATTACCGTCCTCAACACCCCACCAAAAACGGGCCACATGCTTATCTAAAAGACGACAAAGAGTCCGGGGAAGACGGAAACAGGACATAACATGAAGGGAAGAGCCAACGCTATGGATTTAATCAATGTTTCCTTAGCAGCCCACGACAATGTCCTTTGCTTCCACCCCTGAAGGCGCTCTAGGATTTTTTTCCTCCAAATATCTGAAAGTAGCCATTTTGGATCGAGCAACCAGCGTTGGAAGCCCCAGATATTTATCGTGGACCCCCACCGCTCCAACCCCTAGGA